TTAAATTAATAATTCTTTTTCTACAAAGTAATGATAAACCTGTCAGTTGGATGTAGAATAATCAGATTCGATATAGATGTTTTTATTTTAAAGAAAATTCAGATTGAACATGGTAAAAAACTTTAAATTATAGTGTCCGTCCAAAATATATTTTGTAATTATAGTGAAAACTAACCTTGGATGATGGGTTAGTAGACTAAAAGCTTTAGGAATCCAAAGTACAACATATAATAAGTACCCTGTATCAAGATTGATGCAAAAAAAGTGATATTTGACCTTTTTAGACATATTTAGCACAAAAAAACCTCTTCTGGGGCCATTTGGGTGGATTTTTCATATCTCTGGCTCCCCCTGCTGGATTTTGACATGTGACATCTCTTTCTAACCGTCAGAGCCAATGGAATCGAGGGGAACTCCCACATAGTCCTTATTTGGTCATGTGTGTGTGTTAGACTGACGCATAGCCAAGACCGGAAGCAGCAGCCACTCTGGTGGCTACCATTAGCAGCTAACTTTTGCGATTTTTACATAAAAATTGAATTATGGATTATAAATAAGACAAATTATTGCCCAGAAACTTTATCAACCTATGGATTAACCGATTCAGCCGCGTTTTTTTCTCTTTTTAATGCCATTGAACACGTCTTTTGATCAGATTAACAGCTACGGTGAGACGATCTCCCTAGAAGCTACGTAAAGGTACGTGTTGTGATGTCTGTCTTTGCTTCCCCTGTTGCAAGTTCGGATCACTCAGTGATGATACTATATACCTAAATAATCTGTGGAACCTCAGCTTTAATCGGATATCTTGTATGTGCAGCTACGATAAGTAATAAGGGTACTTTTATCTTGAGTTCTGTGCCAATGTCCGTTAGCATTTTTCGCTAAGGGGTCATTTAGATGCTTTTTATGAGACTTGTGTTTTGTTTTGGTAAAAATGGTTTATATCGTCAGTTAGCTGAGATTATTTCCGTTAATCTGGTATAACACATTAATAGGTTCTTAAATATTAAGATCCCCTGAGACACAGTGTCGTGAAAAAAGCGGGGACGTTGGGGCTTAACAGGTTTTAAACATATTTGGTCAGATTTCAGCTTTATCAAATTGAATCGGTGTCAAGGGGAGAGACTGAATTAGCACTTCATATTATCTATCTGGGCCCATTTAGAATTTCCTATTGCATTGGAAAAATTGAGAAAATGTGTTTCTCTCTCTTCTCGTATGTTAAACAGGGTAAGCTACTTAGCTTCATTTTTTACTTCAAAAAAATCTTTAAGAATTTGCTTTTTTCAACTTTTCTTTCTCTAAGCTTATTAAGATTTGTTCTTTTTAGTGCTTTTACAAATGTCCAAGAAATAAGAAGGGATTCCAAAACGTAATGGTAAACACCAAAGATGATTTTAAGTGGTGCTTTTGTCTTAGTTTAAAAAAAATAAGGTTAAGTCAACAGCCCTGCTTAAAAATATATAGAATCTTCATTGCATTTATCAGCATTTCTGGCCACTGCACAATATGTTATGGAAGATAATTGATGAAATGGTCTAAACGGATATTTGGACAAAAGCGCAGCAGGTCAACCACAAGGGTTATATACTCGAGGGTCTTCAGTTGAATACCTGCAAAACAGACCTGACTTTAGAAGCTGCTGTCTTTTATCTCTCTGGTGTCAAGTGTCGGGATGATGCTAAAACAACAGGTGCATGTGAACACACGCAGCAGAAATACCCACGAATCGCACCGGATACACAAATATACATTTACCGCAGAAACAAAAAGGGGAACTTTATTACACTAATACACTTGCAATCGATGCAAATAATTATTATTTATTTTGTGCCAGGAACAGATGTTGAATTGGACCCATTTTACATATCTGAGTCACCTTTGTGTGTCATGCTGCAACATTTTCCACTTGCATGTACTCAGAATCTACTGACGTGTCAAAAGGCCTTGCGTTATAGGTGCATGACATTAAATAGGAACTCTAAATAAAGTTTTTGAAGAAATTGTGGCCAAGACCAAAATAAGTACATGACACTTAAGAAACGGAAGTATAGAAGTGTAATCCTCTTGTCTCAACTAAAATCTGCTGTGGGCCTCTTGACATGACTTAGCTATCTAAGGCAGAAGAGATGGCTTGTCATTTAAAAAAAAGAAGAATATTGTGTCTTTACCACTTGACTACTAAAATGCTATTAACCAGGATCAAAATAATCTCTGGTCAATGATTCTAGAGCTATTTTATCGTAAGTGTGTTGCTCAGTATGCCTCTAACTTTGAATAGTCTGCCACACGACAGATGTTTGCGTGACCAGCTTCAGCCTCATACAGAACACAAAACCACTTCCTTTTCTTTTTATAGTCCAAATGGAGAAGTAAGCAGAAGACAGCCGGATGATTATGCCATTTATTTGGATTCCCATCATTTGACATAGTTCTTTTACACACCGCTCATCTCTCTTTACTCGCCGTACGTTTTTATTATTTGATTAAACCATATTCTTCTTGGAAATAAATCAAGATCATCAGCAACGTAAGTGCCATTTATTAATACTTTTGTGTTTGAGATATGTAAGTTCTGACATCATGCAACAGAGAAAAATAGTATCAACTTAATGTTTAGGCCTTAACTGGTAAGACTTATAAGAATAAGGAATATGTTTTAACGTGTTGATAGTGTTTTTGTACGGTTCTGTTCTAAATCCTGATGATAAAATATACTTTTTACACTGTTTTCTACATACAAAATACACAGTAGGCTATACGGTATAGCAAATACAGTATGGGCTTATCTGTCACTTTAGCATGAATTTACATCAGTTTTAGGAATTTGCTGTACAATTACAATCATGTCTTCATAATTATGTCCCCAAAACAATGCACCAAATATAGTTCTGAAGAACTTCTGTAAATGAGTAAGTGATGAATCTGAAATGAATCAACTACTTTATTGGAAACTATGGCGAAACATTTCAAACAAAACAAAAACATGCACTACATTGTGAAAGCTAAATTGTGTTTTGTTTTAAGTGATGCAGCTGGTTCCAATGTACATGTATGTATGTATGTATGTATGTATGTATGTATGTATGTATGTATGTATGTATGTATGTATGTATGTATGTATGTATGTATGTATGTATGAAATTAAACTTATGGATAATATATCACACATCACAAAGGTCCATTTCAGAATACTAAATATTACAATGACGAATCATAAGATTGGTATACTTAAATCATACAGTGGGTAAAAGTTGGGCTATTTATAACATGTACTGCTGGGTAGCGTCATATTATATTTGTGTTAAATTATATTAGTTTTTTACAAGGCAACATTTGCCTTCATGATTTAGTATTAAAAACACTGTAAAAAGTAGCATCAAATAATCAATATAAGAAAATGAGTGACTGGACAATATATATTAGTTTAATCGCAGAACAAAACGGAAAAGTGTATTTGTGGTGAATCAGGAGTATTGTGTTGCAGAAGTGACAAAAAATAGTTCTTTTTTTGTAAGTACAGATATTATCATGTCAGAAATACCAGACTCACACATCTAATACTTAAGTTAATGTACATAGTAATAAATGACTCATTTTTATTTGACTAAAGCTGCCCCATTGATTATAAAGTGAGGTACTGTGTCCGAGCTTCCATCTAACTGTTCTTCCTGTATCAAATCTGTATTTCAAAAACTATTTTTTTACTAAACAGCTATCTTCTCTTCTCAGATAGCAACATGAAGGGACTGCTCTTCCTGTTGTGCTGCGTAGAACTCCTTGGTTCACTATTGTGCGGTGCTCAAATCGCGGGAACTACTGCTGCTGAAAATCTGAATATTCCAGATCCTGCCTCAACTACACAAGAAGAAAATTCAACTGCAGACTCCACTTTACCAACTTTTAAAAAAACATCCCTATCTGATCACACAAGTGAGGCCAGCATTCAGTCTGAGTCACCTTCACCAGTCTCCCTGGACGTCAGCAGTCATAGCATTTCAATGCCATCTGGCAAACATCGGCCCACCACCATTTCTACTGCCACCACTTCTACCACCACCCCTTTCCATATGTACAGGAAGGAATGCCTTCAATTGTTCATGGTGAGCGGCGGACTGATCATAGCGTGTACCATTCTGCTGGTTTCTACTCTGCTGTTGATATGGAAGGTGTGCCAGCAGAGCAGACGCATCAAGGCGCTGAGCAGCAACGCAGACCTGATCAGCACCTCCGGATACTGGATGGGAACCGCCAAGAGGAACAAAAGCGCGTCAGAGCTAGAAGCCAAAGAGAACACGGTGTTGATGTCTGACATTGGTCAAACGCAGGAGGAGGTGGGTAATGGTACCCCCAAGGAAGACGGCGGGAAGGTAAAGGAGGATGGACCAAAGGAAGAGAAGAAGGAGGAGGAGGAAACTGCAAAGAGTGAAGAAGTTTCGGCTGGTCCTGTAACCGTTGAAGAAGAAGTCACTGACTCCAAGTCCACCGAGGCCGCATCCACCTCCAACTGTAAAGGCACTGAGGAACCAAAAGATAAAGTTTAGGGTTAAATGTGTGTGCCAATGCGTTTCCTGAGCACCTGCCTTTACTTCCCTATAGCTTTATAATACAGTAAATAAGGGATTCTTTTTTTCAGCAGCTTTTGCTTTACAGGAAGTCGATCAACCGCAGCTAGATGTGTCAAACTGTGCACTGAGCATTTCTGCTTGAAAACAATTGGTTGATACTGTACTTCTTTGTTATTAGTGATGTTATATTGAAATGTATCAAAGGTATATTTTACCTCTACAGTGATTTTTTTTTAACTTTAACTAAATGTGTTATGTCAATAGATTTCACATAACTGTATTAGGCTAATTGAAAGCAATAACAATACGTCTACATTACATGTCACTTGTTAGACGCTTTTATCCAAAGCGACTTACATACTCAATACTGTGAACAATCCCCACAGGAGCAATTTGGGGGGAAGTGTCTTGCCCAGGGACACAATGACATGCTGACTGCTGCGGGGTTTGAACCTGTGACCCCCTGATCCGAACACCAACGCACAACCCACTGCACCACACGCCTCCCTGTCGTTTGGATACAAAATATTATTTATAACTTAATATTATTGCTTTCAATTAACTGTGTACCTTCAAATACTCATCACCAGTTTCCTTTTCAAAGAAGAATAAGCTGGTAGGTGGATCTTAGACGCCCTTAATCCTTACAATGATTTAAATGGGTGAGTTGTATAAACATCAGCACTGTCCCGTTGTAATGAACAGGTACATTAGATAAAGACACCAACATTTTTTTTTGTTCCAACCGGTAAACATGATTATTTCTGCTTTGGCGTTTTGTAATGGTGGTGTATGGAGATTGACTTGCTTTCGCAGCAAGCCTCAGATGGCTAATCGAGGAAATGCAGCTTTTGGCACTGTTACATTGGCTTAATTTTTCACCTGAAAGTGGCCCCTTGCATTCCACTTCCAGTTTGTAAAGTGATATTTTGATATAGTTTTGCTATCATTATTTACTTTTCACTTTTCTATTTACAATACATAAAAAATGTTCTTTTTTGGGGATCTTCCTGTGCCATGAAGGCATTTGAATAAAAAGAAAAATAATAGTGGTCGGTAATTATAAGTGGTCATTTTGTAGGTAATTATTTTTATATAATAATGTGTCATAGTCAATATGTGTTGTGAAAAACCTTTTGAGATGTACTGTTTTGACATACGCAACCAAAAGAGGAATAAAACCCGTCCTGAGAAACCTCAGTCCTGAATTATTTTTACCATGCAGCCACTTCCGATTTTGTGTGTGTGTATGAGAGAGAGAAAGAGACAAAGAAAGGTTTGCTTGATTAGCATACAGAGAAAGGGCCTCCTCCAGGCAGTGCCACTCAACTCAGAAAGAACGCTCTCTTCCACCTCAGCCAGAGCTGACAAGGCCATACAAATATGCGTTTGTTTCCATCGTCCTGCACAGATATTTTTTCATTTGTTTGCTTGTGACGTCATGATGGATGGGTACTCTTCATTAAAAGTCTGAACAGTTTGTCCCTTGTCAATGCAGCTCCTGCTTCAACCCCATTAAGCAGCGGGAGGGGGAAACACTTGGAGTTGCAGGTGATGTGCAAGTTTAACAATGCAGTAAAAGTTATAAGTCAAACCTTAGTCAGTGTTATCGTCAAATATATACTTTTTTTCCCTGTGCACTGCTAACACAGTACACATTGTTGTCTTAGCAAGTTGTAGTGTGACTGACAGAATAAGTGAGGGATTCATTTGTAAGCCTTGTTGTAACGGCCAATGAAAGGCCACTCCATCTCAATCAGTACAGGTAGGGACTGGAAGTAAAGGCAGGCAAGAGAGGAAAGTACAGAGAGAGGTGTGAGTAAATGGGTTCTTTGTTTAGTTTACATGACAACTGAACAAAGACAAGTACAAATGAGCAATCACTCTGAGACGCTGTGGTTACATAAATCAGGAATCCACAATGATGCAACATCGTTTTGAATTGCTTACAATTTAAACTAGAGTGGGAAGTTAATGGGATTATGTAATCGGATTCAAAAAATAATAATAATAATGGGTTTCATGTATAAAGCAGTTCATGTTTGACTTCAAATCCCGAAGTGCTACAAGCAGTGAGCATGAACAGTATAAAAACATTACACAACACGGTAAAATTAATAAAAAGCAATAAAAACAAACAATACAAATAAAATAAAATAAAAGGGGGGTAATAAATAAATAAGTAACTATAATCAGCCCATGTTACATTGAACAAATTTGAAACTTAATTACAGTTACTTTTCATGAAGTCTTTAAAGGTCTCCTATTATACTCCTTTTTATCAATATATTACAGGTCTCAGATATATACAAAACATGGCTGCGGTCGAATTGTCAGTTTAGCTTAAGAACCTTCTGAACGGAGTGAAATGACCCGGAAGTACCTCAGTGGTCGTCATGATAAGAGCCGTTCAAATTCTCTAGATAGAAGATAGAAGAAGATGGACCTTTATTAATCCCCAGAGGGGGAAATTCAGTTCTCATTCATAACACTCCGTTCGATGTCTTACTATGGGATGCGCCTCATCGCGGAGCAAACAGAAGCATCAATCTCATTACGCCAATCCTGATTGGCTGGTGATCTTGACGTCAGCGTGAGGGAATCCACCCACCCTATAAGTAGCTTGCGCAACGTCGCAGCGTCATTCAAACACCTCTTCTCGCTTCAGAGCACATCTCGATAGATCGGTAGCCGGGCTAGCTTAACAGTCCACAGACTGAACCCAAAGCTAACAGAAGACTGTTAATCTACCTCGCTGTTTCTTTCTTCGGAAATAAAGGTAAGTTTTTGTTTTTTCAAGCTAGTAACACACCTGTTGCTAGCTTGCCTTCCCTCACTACCGACACCACGGTAGCGAGGACGTTTTTTTCTTTTTTCTCTCTCACACCAGAGGAGAAGAAGATAAAAAGGTATTAACACACCAGTTAATATTCTTTGAGAATAAAAATCTACACCGTCGTTACGAGCGGGTCCTCTCCACGCCGTCACCACGGCGAACAAGATGGACGCTTCTCTCCCTCACACCAGAGGAGTCAGGGACTCGGAGGCTCGGCTCTGCGGCTGCGGGTTGAAGATATCAGGCACAGACCCACACCAGGTCTGCTCGTCCTGTCTCGGGCTGGAACACGCCCAGGAGGCTATCGACAACCCCGGCTCGTGCGGGCATTGTGCCCGCTTCAACATCAAGAGCCTCCGCCGACGGCTAGCACGCCAAGCTAGCTTGTCGGGACAGGACCCCCTCATGTCCGCTGACTCGCCGGCCGGCAATCAAGACATGGGGGCGTCCGCCGCAGAACGGTGCGAGGCTGGGGCTCAATAACAGCGGCAGCCGCTGAACCGGAGCCCCGCGCCGTGTCAGGCTGGGGCCCGGTGGCGGCAACAGCCGTGAGAGCGGAGCCCCCCGCTGTGTCAAGCTGGGGCTCCCAACTCGACCTCACCATGGTCTCGCCCGCGGAGGATGTCCTGGAGTTGGACTACATGGAGGACGAAGAGGATGCCTCTGAGTTCATCCTGTCCGACTCGGATGAGCAAGAAGATGATATCTTCGTGTCATCAGCTCAGGCTGCAAAGCCGGGAGCGATGGCTGCTCTCCCGGGCGATAGCGCACCAGCTTCCCCCTGTCTGAGCATGGACCTGCAGGCCGTGTGTCAACGTGCCGCGTCCAGGCTGGACATCCCATGGCCTGAAATGGCCAAGGAGACCTCCAGGTCTCGCTACGAGGGGAAGACTTTGCCCCAAGCAGCGAGGACAAAGAGGCAGCTCCTTCCAGTCTTCCCGGAGATGCTGGACGAGGTGTCGGTCTCGTGGAGAGACCGCCCCTTCAGTAATAAGGCCCCAATGCAGGGTGCCTCCTCCCTGGACTGTGACGGTATGGAGAGGCTCGGCCTGCTCTGCATACCGCCCATGGAACCGCTGGTGGCAGCCCACCTCCAACCGAGGCTGGCTCCGACACCAAGCAGGAACCCCACGCTACCGGTGAAGGCAGACCGATTCCAGTCAGCGATGACGAAACGGGCCTATAAAGCCGCAGCGTTGTCCGCCAGGGCACTCAACGTATCCTCACTGCTGACCGCCTACCAGGCGGAGCTCTGCGAGGACCTGTCGAGCAAACCTGGGCCGGCCGTGTGGGACGAGATCGCAGCGATCACGGACATTTGCCTCCGTGTGCAGCGCTGTGCAGTCCAGGCCACGGGCAAAGTCATGGGCATAATGGTGGTACAGGAGAGAGCCAGGTGGCTCAACCTGACCAACCTCCCAGACCGGGAAAAGGAGGATGTTCTTGACATGCCTATCGTTCCCGAGGGTATTTTCGGCTCCGCTTTAGTCTCGATGCAGCGGAG